CAGAGACATTGAAACTGAGACTGAAGACTGGAGGAGTAGCTAACCTACTAGTGGAGAGGAGAGAGAACTGCATAGTAGGATCAGCATCAGGACCATCTGTAAAAGAAGCACATTAATTATAGTCTATATTCATCACATACCATTGTTATTGTATCCAGTATCAGTATATGCTCCAACCACTAGTGTTTGATTCACTCCATTCTCATCAGGAATGATACACTTGTATAAACCTTCATATCCTGATAGAACATCTCTTCTAGCCAATGCAATTTGACCATGAAATCTCTTACTGTACACTGGACAAGGAGCTGATGAGCCACCAAAGGGTCCATCAAATAAGGGTACTTCAGTTCCATTAGGATAATACCACACTCCAATATTAGTACCATTGTTAGCACTCTGGCACCACAAAGCATCATTGACATTGCCAGCATCATTATTCTCATCAACATTATAAAACTGGCTAGCATATATCATAGAGTAATCAGGTATTATTCTGTTCTCATAAGGTAGATACAATTGAACACCTACATCAGGTGAGTAACAAATAAAAATTATTAAGTTTATATTCTTACCATTACTAGGCAGGTTATTAGGTTGTTGTCCTTCAACTCTCAAAAAGAGGAAGCCAGCAAGAAGAAGCAGTGCCCTCAACATCTTCAGAGAATAGACACAAAAATGAGTAGTCAGCAGTAATCAATGTATATATCGTGTGTATTTTTAAATTGCTATTTCACATGTGAAAACAAAGTATGCTGACTACATTAAGAAGCCAATGCCAGCTTATGTTTCCTTTACAAAACCAGAACATTCAGTTTGATAATAGTCATTTATTCTAATGCCAAAACATCAACTGTCTTGTGACCATTACAGCATTGACTGATAGTTTGTTATAGCATAAATAAATGAATGTATTATAATACAAAAGTATTTCCCAAAAAAGCACTACAGTAGGAAAAGATCTGATGCTACTAGAACTAAATTTGTAAATATGGACATACATGTACATAGATCTACACTTTGTAATGACTAACACATGACACACACAACCAAATGTTAAGATGATGTACACAATCCTTAATTGACACTAACTACTTGCAAAAATTGTATATGCCTGTTTGTGAAGACAAGGCTATTTTAAAATATTGTTTTATTGATTCTCTTGCTCTGCTTCTACAGTGTAGTTGTTCTGTGGAGGTTCAAGTGATGACAAGTTCAAAGGTGATTTATGTATAGAGGAAGCCAGCAAGAAGAAGCAATGTCCTCAACATCTTCACAGGAAACTTAAACTCTTCCTACATAAGGCTATAGCATCAGGAAACACATGTCATGGAAGTTTATGTAGCAGTTGATTCCCCACACATTATACTAAGAACACACCACCACCTCCTTGTTCCTTCCTTTACAAAATTTGTACATTTAGTTTCATAGTATTATAAATAAATGAATTAACAAATAATAATATAAAAGTTACTTACTAAAAGAGCACTACAGTTATAGGATCAAGGGCAGCTTTGTAAGGGAAAACTCTCCAGAAAAGGATCTGATACTAGCAAAGACTTACTTGTACATTGAAAATAACTGTATTAATAATAGCAGACACACACAGAATTTTATTTTTAGTAAAATTTGGTATACTTAATGATGGCGTAATAAACTGCTGTTCTATTTTTGCTACTTTAAAGTTTAAATCCATGACAAAGACACACTTTAATGTTGTATTGTGCACCAAATCATGAAACTGGTATTTTATATTCAGCAGGTGGAGTATATAGACTCAGGCCCAGCTGTATC